CAAGTGTGGCATATCAAGATGCTGATTAGACAGCATGATTATTGCACAGGTGTGCCTTAGGCTGGCAACAATAAAAGGCCACTCTAAAATGTGCAGTTTTATCACACAGCACAATGCCAGATGTGCAAGTTTTGAGGGAGCGTGCAATTGGCATGCTGACTGCAGGAATGTCCACCAGAGCTGTTGCCCGTAAATTGAATGTTAATTTCTCTACCATAAGCTGTCTCCAAAGGAGAGAATTCAGAGAATTTGGCAGTACATCCAACCGGCCTCACAACCACAGACCACACCAGCCCAGGACCTCCACATCCACCCTTCACCTCTAAGATCATCTGAGACCAGCCACCCGGACAGCTGCTGCAACAATCGGTTTGCATAACCAAAGAATTTCTGCACAAACTGTCAGAAACCGTCTCAGGGAAGCTCATCTGCATGCTCGTCGTCCTCATCGGGGTTTTCGACCTGACTGCAGTTCGTCGTTGTAAACCGACTTGAGTGTGCAGATGCTCACATTCGATGGCGTCTGGCACTTTGGAGAGGTGTTCTCTTCACGGATGAATCCCGGTTTTCACTCTACAGGGCAGATGGCAGACAGCGTGGATGGCGTCGTGTGGGTGAGCGGTTTACTGATGTCAACATTGTGGATCGAGTGGCCCATGGTGGCAGTGTGATTATGGTATGGGCAGGCGTATGTTATGAACAACGATCAGAAGTGCTCACTAACACAGATTTAGACAGATTTGTGAACAATATTTGAGAGAAATAGGCCTTTTGTGTACATAGCATCAGCTCATGAAAAATGGGGGCAAAAACAAAAGTGTTGCATTTATAATTTTGTTCAGTGTAAATGTCCAATACCCAGAATGGTTTTTATGAACTTTTTTATAGACTAGAGCATAGGGAGTAGGGTTGAGACGCAAATCTAAATAATTGTAATCACAGTATATACACTCATCCTTGTGACTTTCTTTTGTGGAAAAAAAATAAAAACAGTAGGGCCCAATTTGTTCACTTTCACTGAATAGACAAAAACAGTTGACAGATTCAAACTTCAAACTATCTTCCTTTTTGTTCCACAGATGAAATATAGGTTTGTCCTACAGGTTTGGAATGACATGAGGGTGAGTAAATTAATTTTTTATTTTGGGGTGAACTATCCCTTTAAATGTCACAACAACATGTGCACCAATGCAATCCCGCACTCTTATTGAACCCATTCAGTGTTTGTTTTCCCATGAGCCCTCACAAATTACCGTGACAAATTTAGATTTCACTTCAACAAAGCACAAATTCAGCTTTAGGGTATTACTTCCTGTGTGGGGGGCCTTTATTAACAGTTTCAGGGCAGCTTGTTGCTTGGTGACAGGTCTGAGTTACGTGGGAGAGCATTCGATGCCTTTAGCGCTGATCTCACATCCTCAATAACACGCTGTCGACATTGTAAGGATGGTTTTCCTACGGTGGTTCAGGCTGTAGGATTGCCGAATGACTAAAGAAACGTTATCAGCACGATGGTATAAAACTGTACATTTCTAGTCTATTACCACCCACTGCCACTTATACCAACGACGGAAATAAGCGCAGTTAGAATAGCTACATATGTGGGAGAGCGTTGCTATTGTGTGACTATTGTATTGCAATAGGTAGCACTTTAAGATGAACCTTGAATCAAGACTAGTTAGCACATAATTAATAATTGAAATGGTTTAATAACAATATTTTGTTATGGTTACACTTGAATTGGTTACAAAATAGATGAAGGATGGTAAAGCATAGTTAATTGTACCCAACATGTAAAATATTACCTGAGAGAAAGAGATAGAGAGAGGAAGAAAAAGAGGGAGAGAGGGCAGAGACCCAAGAAGAGAGCCAGCCAAGGAAAGAGACAGAGCAACAGTTACAGTCCTCTTTTATCCCTTCCTTGACCATGTGACTAAAAACCAAATGTGAGACATTCAAACTGACCAATCAGCAGATTATAACTTCACCCACTGGGCAAAAGGTGTGACAATTAGCAGACCCCCGGTGTATACACATGTTGGCCTACAGGCCTTGATCGATATCAGCACCTCTGTGCCTTCAGGAATTCCAAATGGCCCTTTTGTTACTGAAGATAGGTTTGGGACAGGAAAGCAGAAGTCTTTGATAATTTTTGACCTTACAACATTGAAAGTGATGTAGGTGCAGTCGGAATGCAACATTAATGTATGCATTGTGTATTTAGATAAATAACCTTGCAGTTTTATTCAATTTCATACTGTTAGTGTGTTCAAAAGCTGAAAGTTTAGCAAACAAATTCACAAATGCACCTCTGTAAAGTCCACCGCACGCTTAGAAAGCGGCAGAGCTCACCTTTAAGATTGGACGTCTTATATGGGTACTTTCATCATTTTCATTTATATGGTAATGCAGTATTGCATAGATATAAATACAGCAGTGTTGCAAGCCCTTTGAAATGGAAATGACAATGTGTGAAAAGGTCACATTTGCTTCCATCAAATTCATCACAGACTTTAGAAATTTCTAAGGGAAATATCCATAATGTAGGTCAAGGGGTCTGATGTTTTGTGAAACCCTGTGTCCATTATAAATCGTATTTTAACATGGAGGAAAAAGTGTTTATGAAGCTGTGAAAGCAGAGTTCATTGTGAAATGCTATTAGCGCAAACCGTTTTACAGTACTAACCGTTTTACAGTGATATAATGCGATTTTGATTACTTCAGACTCATATTTGTGGTTTACTGGACGTAAAATTAGATAATAATCAGTTATGACTTATGTAGAATACAAATTTTTTTAAATAATAAAATTAGCATTATATACAGGCTATTATATTCTTCAGAAACACACAAAGCAGCTACTGTTTGTGGCTAGTTTTCCAATATATTCATTTTAAACCTCTTGAATGTCTACTGGAACCATTGAGAAGTATGCAGATGTACACTTTTTTTGAGTTTACTGATAAAAGGTGTGAAGTTTTGCTTTTTTTGTTTACTCGCCAGACTGAAATACTATACTATACTATATACAGTGGGTACGGAAAGTATTCAGACCCCCTTAAATTTTTCACTCTTTGTTATATTGCAGCCATTTGCTAAAATCATTTAAGTTATTTTTTTTTCCTCATTAATGTACACACAGCACCCCATATTGACAGAAAAACACAGAATTGTTGACATTTTTGCAGATTTATTAAAAAAGAACTTTTGTTGACTGCAGGGACTGGGAGACGTAAACGGATGTGACTTGTTACAAACAGCAGTTTGGCGTCTGGTGTTATCTTGGCGAGCGACACATTGGGGGGTGAGATTACAGAGCTCACTTCCTGCTCTGGCTTAGCATGGGACAAAACAAGAGGTGTGAACAGACTTAGGCATTTTGAGGTTATGTTTTCATCTCTGGGTGTTTTCATCACAGAGGCTGTTGTCAAAAGCATCTCTCGGTAATGTCAAATAAAATTGGGTTTCCGACATTGTGAACTCCCATACGAATTGCACATCAGCTGTGCATACCCTGCAGCGTCGTGTCCCAGTGTTCCTGATCAGCTTCCCTGCTCATACTGCTTGCACTAAAAGCTGGACTGGTAAACATGAAGCATTGATAAATTCAGTGGCCCACTGGTATCAATCTGGACTTAAAGGGATAGTTCACCCAAAATTCTGTCATTAATTAATTACTCACCCTCATGTCGTTCCAAACCCATAAGACCTTTGTTCATCTTCCAAACACTATATATATTTGATGAAATCCGAGAGAAAAGTATTCTTGTAGCTTCATAAAATAACAGTTGAACCACTGATGTCACATGGACTATTTTAATAATGTCTTTACTACCTTTCTGGGTCTTGAATGTGTCAGCTGCGTTGTTGTCTGTGCAGGGTCAGAAAGTGCTCGGATTTTATCAAAAATATCTGAATTTGTGTTCGATGAACGAAGATGAACGAAGTTCTTACAGGTTTGGAGCGACATGAGGGTGAGTAATTAATGGGGTGAATTATCCCTTTAAATGTAATTACAGTTAATTAAAATAAAAGTTTTGTGGTTATTAGTCCATGTGTGTTAGATTTTAGGGTATCTTTGTGTGATTTTTACCGCTAGATATTGATAAAATGCACTTTTAACATATATACAGTATTGTTCAAAAGTTTGGGGTCAGTAGTATATATTTTTAAATGTTCTGGAAAGAAGACTATTATGTTCAACAATTCCGCTTTTATTTGTTAAAAAATACAGTTAAAACTAATATTGTGAAATACGATTGCAATGTCAAATAACTGTTTTCTGTTATAATATAATACAATTTAATTCAAGTTTGCTGAATAAAGGTATAAAAGTAATACAACTCTTTAAAGCAATACTTTGAAGCTAAAATGCAAATTTAAGAAAAGAAAAATCCATATCAACTAATCAACCTTACTAATCAACTAGTGGGTTAGTACACCAATTCTCCACATTCGAACGAATTCACCACCATCAACAATCGAAAGTTTCTCATAATAAAAAAAGTGTCTAATCCATTCATATTTAAAAACTCTTAAAGCAGGATACAGGACAGTTATAAAGAGTGTAAGGTCTAGAAATGCGTTTTTTAGAAGTGAACTACTTTGAATTTGAGTGTAGTGTTTTTAGAACGTTGTGTCGTGTAAAAAGCCATAAAAAGCCTAGCTCATGTTTACTTAAAAAGGCAAGGCGAAATGCAAATCGGAATGCAAAAATGGACTTTGATAACTAACCCTACTGTGACCCACTACTCAACTCTTTGTTGAGACAACCAACTAGTCGATTATCTAAATATGTCCATTTGTACATCCTAGAGATCACGCATTCCAGAATCGAACCTTCAAACCTGAAATTGTCCTTTGCTATGCCACAAGGCATACATTTTATTTCTATCTTAATTTCCCCCAGCCAAGTATTTTGCATTCGCTGGAGAGGACAGCTGTATCTGATTCACTGATTATTGGACATATTTGACAACTGTTCCACACCTATTCCCCAGGCCAGCGTCAGCTTGGCACATTGCAACCATTTAGGGCAGTTCGCATGAATCATCGGCCCGACGTCTGGCACGGATCAGGCTGCGCTCAGCACAGTTGAGCGGGCATCTGCCAGTGCTTTCTCTTATGAGGTCTCTCATAAGCCGCCAATGCTTGTGTGGGCTAACAACTCGGATATGGCGCTGGATAAGAACGCGATGGGCTTGTTTGCTTGAATAAAGACTCTGTAAAACGGACCAACAAACAAGCAGTAAATCATGCTTTGTTAATTCAGATGCAAGATGGAGTTTAATTATGCCTGAAATTCAATTTGTTTGACCACTGTGACTAGTGAAAACTTAAAGGCTGTGATGTATAATTTTGGTTTGGAGAGTCGAGGGAACTTTAAAGGCTTTTCACCGGCCTGTCAGGGGGGTTTTAGAGGTAAATGGTCTCTTTTGTGCGTGTGAGCTGGGATGCCAGTGCTTTTGAGTGTCGTGTGTTCACCCCATGGCATGTTCCAGAAAATTGGCTTCGAGAAGATGACACGACTCTCTGCACTTGTGCAATGTTTGTTTAGGAAATAAGCTGGGTGAGTAGAATCTAGATCGTGATTGGTTGATCTGACACCTCTTATTGTGTACAGTATATAGAACTCATAAGTGCAGAATGACTCAATTGGGACCATTTTCTCATGCTAATGAATACAGATAAGCACAAATTGACAGCGTTGTTCTTAAAAATAGAGTTTTGTGTTTCAGATGCTCAGTTTTACAACTTGGATGCGCATTTTGAATGTTTTGACTACTTGTTGAGTAGTTGGCGGAAGTCAACCATCTAATCAAGAACTGAATTGGGAAATAGAGCAAGTTTTTTTTATTGTTTACTTACCTGCATTATACAGTACAACAGTCAGATCTGGTCATCATTTGATGGGCAAAGTGATATTTTGTGTAAATTTTGAGTTTAGCATAACAGATGATACCTTGTTTGTTTCACTCTGCTTGTCTTTTTCTATTGTTCCAGACCAGTGTAAATTATTTTATATTTGTGTGTATATTTTAATTTACTTTATATATTTTTTATGAAAATATATTTAAAAATATATATATTTTTTTTTATTTCAATTTATATATTTGTATTTTTTAATATTTAATATTTTTTCACGTTTTATTATTATTATTATTATTATTACTATTATTGTTGTTTTGTTATTTTTTGTTTGTTTATTTAATTGTTTTATGTTTTAATACACACACACACACAATATAAAATAATGTTATATTTTGCATTTTTTTATTTTCTTTTTCTTTTATGTTTACTTAATTTTATTTAAAAAGAAAGTTTTATATTTTTTTCTATGAAAAACTGTTTTTTTATTTTTTTATTTTATTACTATTTAATGTTTTACTTTTTATTTATTTTTTTACTTTTTATACTTAAATTTATTTAATTTTTTTAAATATATTTTTGTGATTTAATTTTTAATTTTTTTTTTACTTTTTAATGTTTTAATATTACAAAATATAAAAATGTAAAAAGCATCTGCATATTTCCATTAATTTCTCAGTGATCGCAATGAAAAGTCAGTATTGTCCTTTGAAAACATTTATCAGGACTCAAATGCTGGAAATGTTAAATGCAACTCATATATGCTATAGTGCATAAGTGGCCATAATAATACAAATGTCTTAGAGAAACTTTCATTCCAACTTTCAGTTGCAACTGTCTAGTAATGCTAGTAAAGTTTATGTCATTGAGCTAAGCTACATCATGGTTTTCAATAGCATGACTCTCAATTCTTATGAACTGAACCTTGCATGGATTATTTCTGAAAGATATTTGTCATTCTCGTGTCCCTTTCTTTTGTCTGTAAACCTCGTGGTAGATCAGAATTCGCAAGACAATTGGCCTTGATGTTTATAATTAGTAATTGTATGCCGCTCCATAACACAGTGCCACCAAAACCTCATGTTCCGTTCAGTCTGAAGTAACTTGCCATCCATTATACAAGTTTTTCTTGTCTTGCACATGCCCAAATGTACTCGGTGACCATGATGAGGTGAGTCAGTTTCAGCTGTGCCCAGCGCCACACCGAGCACTAATTCACTTCTGCAACTTTCTGCCTGTTGCTGACACTCAGGAACTCTCCGGTGACAGCTTTCAGGTAATGAAATAACCCAGCTGGGATATTCTTTACCCCTGTCTGGGACATAGAGTACAATACTTTCACGTCAATGGAAATGATTCAGCTCCGTAAAGCGAGAGAAACGCTGAAATATTTGGCCCCAGCAGGGTACACTTTCTCTGGCTATTGAAGTCTTGGGGCGTGAAGTACCCTTGCCCCTCCGCAGACAGGAAATTTGAGATAGCCTGACCCTGTTCAGCTGCTGGTGCTGACGCAGATCCTGGCTTTATTCTCAAGGTATTGGCTGCCTGGACAAACACGGCACCTGCTGTGGGATGTCTTATATTTTAAGTTTCTCATTCTGAGGAGAAACTGGCCTTGCATTTGCTCTACTCGATTGCAGAACATGCAGAACTAGATTAGATGGTAAGGTCGCATTTTGGATGTTTTTCTACTTGAAATAAGTCGACCGACTAGTCAAGAACTGAAGTGGGAAATGGAGCAAGTTTCAGTTTCTTTAAATTATTGATTTATTTGCACAATACAGCAGTTAGTTCCAGTTGTCATTTTGATAGGCCAACAAATTTATTTATTTATTTATTTTTGTACATTCAGTTTAATATAATGTTGCTCTAGTGCCGTGACGATTCCCTGTTTTCACATCCAGGCCATTATATATATAATAGTGTGTATATATATATATATATATATATATATATATATATATATATATATATATATATATATATATATATATATAT